CTCTTAGTACATATTGTGAAACCTCCCTAATTTGTATTTCTACGTCTCTGTGTAGTTTTTCTAAGGAGAGAATGGTGGACTTTGATCTCTGACTGAGCCTGCAATTCAAAGCATATTAATCAGGAAACAGGCCTGACTAAACATAGGGTGACTTTCTCCCAAGTAGATGCATCAGTGTGGCCAGTGCATAAATGAATCATCTTATCCACAGATTCTCAGCAGAGAGCTAGAAGAGTCCAATCCAGTCCATATCCAATTCTAATTCATCCAAATATTCCAAAACAAAACAAAAAAGTAAAATAATGATGGCTATTCAAGTTTGTTGCAAACAGTAGGAAGACTATAAAAATCCTGTGATAGATACATAAAGTATTAGCAATAATGCAAGATTAACTTCAGTGGAATTTGTATATTAAAACTGGTCCTTCGCAGGACATAGTATTCTGCAATCCTGAAAATAACAATCCTGCTGCAGCAAATGTGTAAAAACATTTTGTCATTTAGGAGAACCCATGTCACTGGTTGCACTCATTAAAGAAATCAGTTGACAAAGAGTGTGCCATTTTCACGGAAGATAACAAGTGCTTAATTTTCTCTTACTTATCAATAGTTATCACACAATGGCATTTTAAGTGGCAGAGTTTTTGTGAGAATTAAAAGAGATATCTGCACAATTTCACAGGCATGCTACACTGTGTTTTGGGAAACATGGATTAGCAGAGGCAAAAAAAAAGAAAAGAAAAGAAAAGGCAAAAGAAAAACCCCAAACAAGCCAGCAACAAATAATCTTATGAAACTTTAAAGTTTTAGTTTAGATTAATTTTAAGCTGTTCTGAGATGTCACATCTAGTCTGACTAGCTACTCTGAAACATATCCCCTAACTATAGCATTAACATTAACACCTTGTTCTGTTACAGGATGCTGTCTGATATGTAGCACAAAGTACTGCTTTAAGATGCCACTAACAATAAGCCAAAAGGACACTAGATGCTTAATCAGGAGGAAAGAACATCTCTGCAGACAGAGCTCATAGTGTGAACGCTCTGAAAACCTGACATGCTTGACTCTAAAATTAGCTGATGAACTGACTGGAATGGCTGTTCCCCTTTTGCAAGCACTATATGCTCCATCTCCAGGAGGTCAATTTTTCTCCTACTTCCACAAAATGTTACTATCCTATTTCAATTGTTCTATAGTTATCATTTATTTCTAAAGGGAGACTGAAAACCAAAGGGATTTTCCAGCTATACAATTCTGCCTTCTTTTAACACATCTATGGACTGACTGCCCAAAAGTGTCAGTGAAGACAAAGAAAATCCCAACAGAAAAATTTTGGAGTGGTGCAAGAATAAACTCTCATGTCAAAGATGTCTAATTTGATGTAATGCTTAAAAACCCCTGTTTAGAAATCGACATATATTTAAAGGGCTCACTATTATATATATACACACACACACCCCATTTTTTTAATGGAACATTTCTACATAGTATTGACAGCTATCCGTAAGAATTAAATAAGCACAAAAATGCAGCCTGACATTTTGGATTATAATAAGCATATCCAACAATCTACTATACATATCTCAGTCCTGCGTGTATCTACATAAATGTACATGTTCATCTTTCCCCAAAACTGAGGAGTTAAAATGGGATCTACTGCTGCAAATGCTTCAGATAAAGAAATTGTTCTCAGTCATGCCAAGCTACTCTGGTGCTCACTAGATGGTTCCCAAATGACACAAGCCTGCTAAAGCTCAAACCAGCCCTTTCCTATACTTTTGGAATGTCTAAAACGTATGGCAGAAGATAAAGTGGAGATAGCAAAACATTATATCCCTTCTGCCCGGAAAACTTAAGCTCTTACTTTATGCCCCATAATATATTCCATATTATAAATATGCTATACATAAAATAAGACATAATTGTCCTGAAGAAGGTAATTCCCAATTTCCTCTTTCACATAAAAGGGTACCTGATTTTTATAAATAAAAATTAGAAAGGTAACCATTAGTCTGAAAACCAAACCCTAATATGAGTTAATGAATATATCCAAATTACTTAATTTATCTCTTGAATGTGTGTCATTATATACTGCACGCATCTCCTAATTAGTGGGATATGGACAACAGTATTTTGGCTTGCTAGGTATTACTTAGATTAAAGATTGTGGTTTGCACAGAAGAGTATTAACATGCTTGGGTAAAACTGGGCTTTGGCTGTGCTTGTGGCCTACTAGTCAAAATTGACCAGTATAGCCCTACTGTTAGCAGAGAATGCTAACCCATGTGGCATGGGCGCAGCTAAGGCTGGTAATCCAGTCTATACCTTTGGTACCTTGCAAACAAATACGAAAGCCTTCATAGACCAAAGCTAGGATAATAGTGGAGGTCACTGTCTGGAGCGGTGGGGGGCACAATCTGGTGACAATCAAGGCATATGAAAGATTGCAGCTTTGAATGTAAAAGGAATAAATAGTAAAGAACATGAATTAAGAAGTGAAATAAAAAAAAAGATATGCTGTGTGTCTTAAAACATAAGAGAAAGGGAAGGCTGCAACAGATCTAAAAGAAATAGCCTAATTTGATGGAGAGGATTTGATGAATACATGCAAAGAAATGAAAGTTTAGGTTTAATTATGAATGAAAGGACTTAAACATATGGCGGAAAGTATGTATTGGTATCTAGGCTGTTTTGAGGGCATACGAAAGTAAGAATCCATAGGCTGATGACTGAAAGAAAAAGAAAATGCAGGCCAATTTTAGTGGAAATAAATAATGGCTTTGGAAGTGGGTGAAAAGGGGTAAACTAGGAGTCTCCACCAGAATGAATGGAATTAAAAATAAATGTAATAAAGTGATTTAGAATGAAACCAAACTGAGGGAATGTGGGAGACTTTAGAGATTTGTATAGGAAGAATAATGTTAGTATCCGAGAAAAAAAACTGGGAAAGTAATAAATGTTATGAGAATGCTGAAAAATAGTCTGCAGTGTTCGTGATAGAACTGGAGAAGTGTTAAAAAATGAATGGGGTTTGCTAATGGAATGGCTATGCAATTTAGTCAACATATGTATGAAGACTGCATTTGTACCTGATGATTAGAAGAATACTGTTGTTCCCTTATACAAAGGGAAAGATAGAAAGACTGAATGCAAAAACTACAGGGGTATTAATATGTTATGTGGGCCTAGGAAAGCATTTGGCAAAATTCAGGTGGATAGGGTTGAGAAATGAGCAAAATTTGGAAAATGCAATAGGGCATTATGCTGGGCAGTGAGTGAGCAGACCAGATGTTGGAAGGAGCATATAAATCTGAGAAAGTTGATTGTATATCCATTGATTTAGAGAAACTATGATAAAGTAAATAGGCTTGAATTATGAAATATTCTGTGTGAATATTCTGCATGAATATAGAATTGATGTTGATTGCTGAATATGATAAGGTAGTATATGATGAAAGTAAAGCATGTTTGAGAACAAATGGAATGCTTAGCAAATGATTCAACATCTAGAACAGAATATGTCCGCTTGGTTGGATAAATATATAAGAAATACTTCTGATAATGTTAGAGGTGGGTTGATTGAGGACATGAATGTTTGTGTGCTTTTGTAGGCAGATGATGTTGGGATACTGGGTGAGAACTGGAATAATTGGCAGTGAATATTAGATTGTATGATGCAACAAAAAGTTCAGACCTGAAAATCAAAGTATCAGTCAAGGACCAAGGTGTTGGTTATGGAAAATGAATGAATGGTGGCAAGTTTTATATAATTGGGGAAAAACTAAAGTAAATGGATTAATTTGTATACCTTGATAAAATGTTTACTAAAGGGAGGGAATGGACAAATAAATTTTAATTGGTAGAATGCTGGTGGAAACACTGCTATGTTGTGAGGAATGAATGTTTTAAAAGAAGTGAAAATGGATGTTATAACAGTGAGCTTCAATCCACTTTGTGATGCAGAAGTGAGAAGTGGTTATGACAGGAAAAATTTAAAGGTTGGATGTCAAAAGAACAGGCTACTAAAGTGGGTGTGGTAAAATAATAATAAGGAATTAATGGGTGCTGAATACACATGGATTGAATAGAAAAGTGAGTGAGCAGTCTAAAATTGGTATGTTGGTGTGGTCATATAGAGCAGGGTTCCTCAACCTCAGCAACTTTAAGTTGGGTGGACTTCAACTCCCAGAATTCCCCAGCCAGCATGCCCACCCATGGAAAAGTTGCTGAGGTTGAGGAATCCTAATATAGAGAGAATGAAAGAACAGAGATGTAATTACTTTTAAGTACAAGAGACAATGTAAGAAGTAACGTATGGAAATGGTGGAAACAAGGATGGTTTTCAAGTACAGAAATATATTGAAAGGGGCAGTGAGATAGATATATCCCCTTTTCTTTTTATCTCATTCTTTTAATTTCTTTGGCTTACTACTCTTTATTCCCTTTCTGTGGTTTGCATAATTTACATCAAAAGAGAATAATAATATGTGTGTATGTATGTATGCATATACTTTACTAGATCAATTCTCAATTTAGTTTTCTACATGCTTTCATTATAGATATATTCTTGAAATTGTCATTGTATTACTAGATTGAACATATATAGAAATGTGATTCTACTTATTCCGACATAAAACTTGTGTTTTGAATGTTACGTGAATTTTTACAGTATTAAATACTATAGTCAGCAATCTGCTTTCAGAATTCGTATATTTGAAGGGATTCACTAATTAAATATAAGGTTATTCTATAGTGTGTAATCACCTATATTGTAATCTGCTGCCTTCTCTAACCTGTTACCCTCGAAATGTTGGGAACTTCTAGAATTCTCAACAAGCTTACCCAACAACTATTCCTCAAAGCCATGCTGATTAAGAATTCTGGAATTGCATTCCCAACACATTTGGAGGAAGCCAGTTAGAGAAGGTCATTATAAACCATTTCTAGAGCACAGAGTCTTCTTTTATTGGTTATCTTTAACTGAGGAGCTTTGACATACTATTTCGTTTGCCTTCTCCATCACCTTCCTCTTCATTCTCTGGGTCAATGTCTTCTGCTTGGGTAATCCAATCCAAATAGCCTTTGAGGTCTTCTTCTAGCTGTTGTTTTTCACGCAGCTTCTGAAAATCTCCCCTGGCCTTGGCTTTTTCTCTTTCCTTGGAAAATTCCCTATGGGATTCAGATAAAACACAAGATACTGATTTATGAAGCTGCACAGCTTTCTAACAAAAAAATCAACCCCCCATATTTTCCTTTTTCTCTTGACAAGATTACATACAATAAAGAAACTTTACAAAAATGCAAACAGTTCCCGCATATCACAAAGCAATTCAAATAATTTGCCATGCTGCATTCTTTATGCATTATACTTTTAAGGACTCATAAAAATATGAATTCCAAACCTTCATCTACCAGACTTGCACTGGCATCATTCTGGATCTTCTCTGGATGCTAAAATGTGTGACAGTACTGAAATAGATTGGATATAATACTTCCTTTCATCCTCAGAAATGTAATTAGGATCCTAGGTGGCACTGCCAGCTATTTTATTTTTTTCTCAAATTTATATGGCTGCCCATCTCACGCCAAGTGTCTCTGGGTGGCATACAATAAAACCTACTATTAAAACATACTGCAAAACCAATTAAAAACACTTTAAAAAAATAAACAGATTAAAAACAAGACCACAAACAGGAGAATATTACACATAATGCAGCCAACACGCAAGCTCCCTATTGCCAGGGGATCCCCAGGATTGTTGAAAAATAACGTTTTAAGGGCTTTCCGGAAGGCAGTAAGGGTTGCAGCTAACCTCACCCTGAGAGGAATAATGTTCCAGAGGGCAGGTGCCATAGCAGAAAAGGCTTGCCTCCTAGGTCCCGTCAGATGGAACTCTTTTGCAGACAGGACCCACAGCATGCCTCTCCTTCTGGACCTGATGGGACAGGTAGATGTAATCAGGAAGAGGTGGTCCCTCAGATAGGGCTCTAAAGGTAAAAACCAGCACCTTCAATTGGACCCAGAAGCAAACTGGTAACCAATGCAGTTCATGGAGCAGAGGTGTAATTTGTGTCCTCTTAGGGGCTCCTGCACTTGCACTAGTTGAAGCTTCCAGATACTTTCCAAGGGCAGCCCCATGTAGTGTGTAGTACCACAGTTTGATGAGTCATGTTTCAAAGGATTCTAGTTCCAAACTCCAAGTAAATACTTTCCAGGCACAAAACTACTATACCTGGCAGAATTTATTCAGGTGTTTTTATTCATTGCCTAGAGAACACCAGATTAATAATACAATGAACGCATAAAAGTGTTCTCAAACAATAGACTGAGCTGGTAACATTTGGTTACTAATACTTTCATCATTTTTGTGACACTAAAGATAAATGTTGTTGGACTCAGAACCATGTCTTCTCAGTGGCAGCACCTGCCCAATGAACAGCACCCCCCCAGAGATTTCCCCCCACCCCAGAGATTCAGATGGCCCCAACCCTGCTAGTTTTTCACAAGGCATTAAAGACCTGGCTGTTTCCCCAGGCATTTGGGTCAGGTAGTTAGATAACCTCTACTGTTGTCGATTTTGGGGGGGGGGGGGGTGGGGGTCCTGTTTGTTTTTGGGTGCCTGGGGGTTGATGTTGTGGGCTTTTTTGTGTTTCTAATCCTTGTAAGCCATATAGAGTCACTTGAGTAAGATGGGTGGTATAGAAAACATATAAATGAATGAATGAATGCATAAAATGTTGATTTTATTTTTATTTTTGGTTAGACTCTTCATGTTGGAGAATGAAAAGCTTTTATGTTTGCACTTTGTTCTCTTCCTATTTATCCTAAGCTCTGCTGAGAAAAGGAATACTGTCAAAGCGTCTTCATTTGCTTTTGCCAGAAAACTGAAACTGACAGTTCACTGCCGTTTGCTATTTAATGCATCATTATTTAAATGCCTTTTTCTCTTAATCCTGCACGTGCTGTGCTGCAGCTGTTTTTAGGGATGTGTCCACATAATTAACTGAACAGTTTCTTAATAAAGGAATCCAAGGGCACCCTCTGTAAGAATAGCACGGCTGTAGAAATTGCCAGGAATATATATGACTGAATAAAAGTATTACTACAAACCTGTAACTTTCCCATATAGAAGGGTCGTATAGGGACATGCCAGAACATTAGTCGCTTGCTATCCTCAAGCAGGAAAATACATTCAGGTTATAGATATAAAGTGTGTTTGAAAAGGTCTCCTTTGTTCCCATGGCTACCCAGAGAAATAGCAGCGCCTCCAGTAGAATCTGTCTTCACAGAAGGCATCCTCTAGTGGTTAGCACCATTCCCGAGGAGCACATTATCCCGCCTCATTAAAAAAAGTTCTTCCACTTGTAAATAAAGAAATGACTCTCTTACAGCTTCAGGTTTTCTATGTTAACAGTATAATAACCCAGGAATGATTGAAATCTTAAACAAGCCATTTTACAAATGAAACCTTTGTAAAAAAACAAAACAAAAACAAAAAAACTTTTTCTATATGAATCATTCCTGCTCTACAAGGGGGCTGATTTTATAATACGAAGGTAACAAATCCACTGGATCCTAACTCTCATTTTGAATGGCTGCCTTGAATACATGTGGCCAGAACCAAGGTTGCTGTCTTGATTGAACCAAAAATTCAACCGGAAGGAAATTAATAAAACAATGCTGAAAATCAAATCAAGTGTGATGAAAATAATAGTTTTCTGCTGCTTGTTTTCCTGACAGAAATTCTGCTGTTTAATGTTGAGCGTGAACCTTTGGTTGATAGCCCTGATACTTTTTTCATACTTTTGCTAGCAGGACAAGTAACCTTCAATGACCTCGCCTCGTGGTTTGCTTAATTTTGGTTTTGTAGGTTGTATAGACCTACCCGTTGTGTTTTATAAATGATAAAATATAGTTTAGGATGTTGTATGAATCGAGCCAATTGTGTCATGGAATATGGGCTGTTAGTAGGATTTCAGGCACAAAAGGTCTCCCATTTATTAAGGCTCTGAAAATGGAAATAGCTTTTTTATAGAACGTGCTTCACTGAAGCAGCTTTGCACTGGCTGTGTAAGAATTGTTCCCTTGCTCTGTGGTCTTGTGAGATCCAGAGAGCCAGGACAGCTTGATGTATTTTGTCTGACCAAGGAGCTGCTGAAAACAGGTAAAAGCCCAAACGCTCTATAAAGAAGGTGTGGTGGTGAACTATAATGGAAGAGGAGGAAAAGAGAAGCAATGCTTTGATTTAGCGTTCAAGGAGTATTTCAATCACATCTGCTTTATACTGTTCTTGAATGTAAATATTTTAAACCTCTTTGTACAAGAGAAGAAAATATTGTTTAAATAAACCTCAATACATCTTTAGAAAACACACAGGTTTCTCCAGAGTTCTGAGCCTCGTTCAGATAAAGTTACTTTGCAAGTTATTGTCAAACAAATACAGTAAATAAAATTGCTCAGTGGCTCATGAATTCTCCTCTTTTCCCTATCAACAGGTGAATGGAAACGGAAGCACTTAAAGTGAGTAAGATGGTGAGGAGATTAAGTGTCTTAACAGCTTATTTAATAAACCATGATTAAGGAAACTATAATTTAGCACAACATGTGGACTCAGGTTTTTTAAAGCTAACTGAACTAGTGGCAATCAACATATTATTCATACAAGTTCATACAATAATTAGGTGCTTGTATGTTCAATTATAGTAACCTGAAACTACACCATTAGAGAGTCATTAACACCTGAGGTCTAAAATAGCTTTAAATATAGATTCCTTTAATTAAATCTTTAAAATTTTGTAATTGCAAACAGTGAAAATCCTATTCTGAAAAGATAATAAATGGCAGCTCATTAAAATATTTTTCATCAATTAATTATTCAGTTTCAACTAACTGCACCCATTAATTAATTACTTGATTTAATATGCACACTGCAAGGTTCCTTGTCTTTTTTTTTTCTTTAATGGACTCATGTGCTCAGCAACAGCCCCTTCTCACACTTACAGCTCAACTCTATAAACTTTTCCTTTCCTTTACTGGCTGCATTAGTGTTATGCTTGGCTGAGTGTTAAATTGTAAACTGGTATGTCCAAGTTCACATTTCACCCTAATTGCAAACTCACTGGGTGGTTCTGAGGAAATGATTCACTTCATTCTATAAACTCAGAACTGTGCCTCATAAGGGCATTTTGAAAGTAAGAGAGATAAGATTCCAAAATATTCCCTCAGTTATTTGGAATGTTAAATAAGAGAAAATGTCCTGATACTATCTCATGTACTGATTGTTATTCAGAAGACTGTATCTGGAGTATGTACTGATAAATCTGACTTAAATTGAAGCATGCAGACATATAATATTTTGGCCAATATAAACGTATTAGACAAGTTTGCATCAAGAATACATTCTAAAACTGAAATAACTATTGGAAGAAAATCAAGTTTGATGCAAAAAATCCATATAAATAATGAGAACAGATGCAGGTAGATTTTAACCTGAAATATGATTGGAGTGGATGGTGGTGACTGAAGTGAAGTGTTCCTTCTGGTTCCTTAAATCAAAGTTTGGCAACCTGGTGTCTTCCAGTGTTTTGAGCTATAACTCTCATAAGATTAGCCAGCATAACCAATGGCCAGATTTAATAGGAGTTCACATTCAAAACAGGTATGCATCAGGTTGCCTAAATCTAACTTAATTCTATGAGTTAACTAGAAATTAATTACTAACAAGATGGTCTTATTCACTAAGAGACTGATCAATTGCCACCATTATTAGAAAATCAATGGCATCCAAACATCCCTGTTAATGCATGGGAGAGAGAAAGTTATGTTAGAGGTCAAAGAGAGACCTTCACTTGGACCTGTAGAATGGCAAATCCAAAGCTTTAAATTATTTTTATGGGAGCATCTGTTATAAACCTTTCACTATTCCTAACTATTTTACTAACATGGCTTCTAGAAAGGCATTTACATTAGCAAAGTTTAATGGTCAAAAGTGTTGAAGAGCAAGTTCAGAAACATCCCATATTTGGAGTCTATGCTTGGACAAAGCCACAGAGATAGTCTGGCATGTTTTGCTTAGTGCTTTGGATTAATATTCTCCATCTTTGCTAAATGTACAAGTTGTCCTGAAGCAGAGGTGGTGTGCTTTTTACCAGCAGATCCATCTGCTGAAA